AATGGTAAAACAAATCTATGTGAAAAGAAATCTCAAAATTACCCATAAATCGCGGCAAATAAAAACAAAAAAAAAAACGCGTGGTTATCATTAATTGGCGCATGGACGAGCACCGCTTTCACGATTGATACGCGATGCAACTGCTGCAACCAGGGCTGCTCCACGACCGCTTCCGTCCTCCGAAAGCATCAACTGATACTGAAATGCAGCTTACCAATCAGCTATACAACGGGAGAACAAGTATTTGGCGATGACCTGGACAGGGAGTTGAAAAACAAGAACTGGTATTTGTAGATGTGGGACGCTCGGCTTTTTAGAAAAACAGAACGAAAGTACCTCGAGGGACTCATCAACAAGATGTCCGATCTTCTCGTCAAGAAGTCGCGGGAAGTTCGGATGAAATCGGTACACCGATCCGTCGACGCCAACTGTCACGAACGGTTTCCGCATTCGGTTCAAAAGAGTCGCAATGCCCGCTGCGCAAAGATATGCAGCTCTAAAAATAATACTTAATCATTACGAGACCAGAAATAAAATCAGTTAATATGTACTTTTGCATAAACGGAGTCAACGCCAGATACACTGCACCTGATATGTGGGAGCATGCGAGTGATATCACTAACATGGGATACCCACTTCAACTGTCCGAGCAATCGTCGTATTTACTTAGGCGCTTTGACAACAGCAATTCACAACAACGGTCTTGGCGTCGTTAGAAAACAAGCGGGAAATTCAAGATATTTAAAAAACTAATTTCCAAAACAATCGGCTTGTGAATAAATCTGCTTGAATAACTGGTATATTGTTGTATCTAATAGGCAGCTAATAACAGCGATTTTGCGGTAGCGCCAAATACCAGTTATAGATAATTACGATATGCTACTGTGTTTTAGTCAAAAATCAGAACCTTTGTATTTGCTCCTTCAACAAGGACACCCGGAAAGTAGCCCGAGCGGTAGCAGATGCCAACAGCAACCACTCGCTAGCAAGGCTGTCGATGGCCCTCTCTCTTCCGAGAAATGCTTGAATATGTTTATGGCAGGTTTGACTCCGTGGCACTTAGCAATTTGTTATTAAGATGAATGAACGGCAGAGGGGCCATTTTATTCAGAATGTTTATTTTCAGAAAATTTAGTGCCTCGCAAAACTGACCGCGTACTAACGAGCGAGCATACGTATGCCACATTGATGCAATCTGCCACGCTCACTTGTTCGGTACCAATTTCTTCCAGGATCTGCATTGTCTTCGTGAAGCTTCGATCCTCATCCAAAATTTCACTGAAAAAAAGTGTTCCTCTTTCTGCAACTAGGTTGCCGAATCTGAAAAAAATTATGGATTTTTTCTTTTTTAACGCTTCGCCCTCACTCCTTTCCTTTTCTCTGCGCAAGAGACGAGTAGTCTCAGTCTGCCAACCAAACTAGCAGTTTTTCGCGCATTAGCACATCTGCAAACTCAGGAAACACTACAGCAATAACTAGAACTTTGCGCTGATCCAATTCAAAATAACATCCCTCCACTCGTGATTTTTTAGCATTTTTACCTCATGCTCAGTTTGTTGCTCATTCTCCCCTCCTCTCCTTCACCCTTTTCCCGTTCCTCTCTGCATCACGTTCGACTACTTAACAACCAGATGAGTTTACTGCTCCTCTCGCTGGTTTTTTTTTTCTCCAGCCGCTTTGCTTGAGCCTGGTTCGATGCTTTTCTCCCAGTACACACCAATCAAATTAGTGACTGATTTTCCAACTACTTTTATTTATTACGTAGTAAATTAGTGCTGCAACCGTTGTGCTAACGAGATCCAGCTGTAATATCGAATCAAAAAATATCGGACTAGGTGGATCGAAACCTCTCATCCCGTCCCCAGCCCCCCTTTCAGAGCCCCATCTGGACACTCATCACCCACTACTTCAACCTAATGTTTCCATTTATTGCCTCGAATTCGCGACTAAGTACCCTTGTCACCTTCG